CATCAGGGATAAGGAAGTGGCGCAATTGGTAATCGACGAGAAAGCAGTAAAACACTTAATTAAAATGTTGAGCGCGCCGCATGTATTAATGCAAAACGAGGCTCTAATTAGTTTAATGATTCTGACAACGTTTTCCTTAAGTCAATGCGAAACGGTGCTGATCGAGAACCAAATAGGAGACAAACTCTGCGACTTCTTTAGGAATGCGACCTGTCTAGAAATACCAATTCTGCATAACGCTTTATCTTTAATAGAAAACATTCTCGACGCAGGTATTTAAACGAGCATTTAAAAAATTAAACAATTGGTAATTTTTTCATTTCTCATGCTGGATTTCAGATCTCGTAAAGGAGCACTTGTGCAATACTGACTTGTTGAAGTTGTGCCAGGAAACGGGAACAATTAAGGACGAGTCGAAGCTTAATGAAAAGCTACAAAAAATACGTGAGAAACTCGCGTAATTAATCAAAACTACTTATATTAAAAATATATATTTGTATACGTAATTTTGGTGTGCATGATTGGAAGGCGGCCAGCTTGCAAGAGAAATCAATTAACACGAACGAGCTTCGTCGTTCAGTCAATTCGTCATTAATTAACAGAAAACGATAAAAAGCTCTAACTGTGTGTACATAGATGTAAGAAATCGACCATGCAGTATATTTTATGTGACCAATTGTGAGATTAATATTTATATAAATCCATCGAAAATCTCTATAATCAAATCATTTCGTACAAATCAAATACGCTCCCCTCTCCTCCGATCTATCATATGCACGGTGCTAAGAAATGTTTGGTATTGCCAGTCATAGACGTATCGCAGATTTTCAAAGTTACCGAAAAATTGTCCAAGGTCAAAAATGTTCCATTGTATTCTCCGCGTCATGGAGATAAAAGAACTGTGGAATAGAAGATGCCTTCCAACATTTACGACACGTACCGAAAAATTTAACGCCCTCATCTAACAACTTTCGTACCATACCTCTGTTGAAACGACCTTTTATTACGTCTTCGTACG